TGTTTTGGCGTTAGGATTTTGTTTGTATGTTTGGGCCAGACTTTGTGGCTAGCTAAGTTTAAAGTTAAGGCAGATGAAAACCATCCCATTCCCCATGCCCTTTTTTGGCCTTGTGCCATATTTTCTGTGTATAACAAAATTCATTATCGGGAAGTTTCCAGCTGTCAGCTTTGACAGACGGATCGAACATTCTTGCTGTAACACTCTCGATTGTATATGTTTGTATTACTGTTTCTGTTAATATATGTGTTTAACTTAATTCCTCTCTTGTGTCTTTATTTCTGACCACAACAAGGCCACAAAAAAAAGATAAGTTTTGGAGAGCCATGATCCCACGTCCTGAAAGGACATGGTATTTAAAAGTAGATGTCAGAGCTGAGTTATGGGCTACGTGTTCCAGTGGACGAGTTACTTGATATCCAATACTTCCTCACTTCGAAGACTGGCATTTATTCCTGTTTTATTTTTGCACTATAATATCAAAACACATGCAAAAATATGTGCGCAAAGTAAGAAACATAACGAGATTAATGAGAGCGAAACTTTTCGAGTGCTTGTTTATTTTTATATGACTATCTTATTCTGATTTCGTAAATATTTCGTTCGTCCGTTTTTTGTTTTTTTTGGGTTTTTTTTTAAGTGGGTGTTTTGTCTTGTCTCCATTTTGTGTGCGTCGAAATCCCGATCATCTTGCTTTCGGCTAATTCATTCATAGCAATGCAACCCAGTTCAGAATCTCTTTAAATATCACCTGATCCGCATTATCTGTAGACAATTCAAGAGGAAAAAAAAACACACACACACACACATCTTAAGTGTTTCTCGAGTAAGTCAGATTTAAGACTTAAGGATTTATCTTTTCTTATTCCTCCTGCCTATTTTTGTGTCCAATCTCAAAGGAGGGTCTCCTTATAGAATGGTAGACATCCACAGACTGAATGAAATATGCACAAATGCCTCACTGGCTTGAAGGCAAGAACCGAGATTACATTCATTTTGAGAGAGAGAAAAACCAATAAATATTTGTTTCCATTTTTTATATGATATAGGACTAAGGAAACTACCGGCAAACATTTACTCGCATATACATTGATATATACGTACTGTATATGTACGTACTATATGTATACGTTTGCATGCATTTTGTTACGATATAGATTATATGAGACTTGTCAAGGATGCCGACAGGATAAACAGCATTTTAAAGATAATGTTCGCAAGGATGAGAATACCAATTGCCGCAATGCTTCGTTAACAAATGTTTACTTAGTTTGGTATCAATAAGGTTAGCATATTCTTTACGAAGTTTCGTAAAGAAAGTGAGAAATAAATTAAAATCTTTGCGCAGAAGCCTTAGTAATAAAAGATGAGAAACTGCGTCAATCAGGATTCGATCTTGGTTTATTTACACAGTTTATTATGCAGATAGATTATATATATATATATATATATATATATAAGTGAACACAGAAGTCAACACTTAGAGACGACAGTCTGTTTCATGCTATATGCAATCGTCAGGCCTGAACTCTGAACCGACTGTTCGGTTAAACTCTCTTCCTACGGGCGAGAGGAACTCGAAGGAGGCTACGCCGAAGGGCGGAGTCTCCTTCGGGGAGGTTAAACCGGCCCTGAACCCGTTTATACGGGTTCAAATGGGCTATTTTTTGGCCGAGCCTAATGTCTTGGGAATTGCCCACGTTAAAAAGGCCTTGTGCCACATGACACCCTCGTGGATGGGGGTGACTGAATATCGTCAGGCCTGACGATAGCATATAGCATGAAA